TCTGGTATATTTCTTCAATTTCATTAATTCTATCTTCCATTGAATCAATTCTGCTCTTTTGCCCTTCCAATATGTTATCTATTTCTGACAATTTAGTATTAATCTTCTGGAGTCCTGTCTATAGATTTAGAATCATTTCTAATTTTTCATTGATTTTGTCATTTTGTTCCTGTATTTCCTTCCAAAAATCTTCTAGGGTTTTTTCTGTGTTTTCTTTGGTCTGTCTCTCAATCCTTTGAAGATACTTAAATATAATTATTTTGAATTCCTTAAATTCAATGCTGCTTCTTCCTCAGGGATGTGTTCTGGAGCTGTATTCTGTTCCCTTGTTTCTACCACTTTATCTTGCTTCTTTGTGTGGACTGTGATGGTCTCTGAGACATCGTAGAGTTGTTGTATTTAGATCTCTGTTAACTGTTTGTGAAGAGCAGTCAAGGGTAATTCAGGCTCTTCTTCTTGGTGTTTTTTTTTTTTTATCATTGTCCCATTGATGGAGAAGGAGGTGGTGGCTCTCGCTCAGTAAGTGAAGTTGCAGGAAGTGTGGGTGTAGTTGTGTTTTATCAGGACTGTTGCTGTCTCCCACTCAATTAGACAAAAATTACAATTATATAGCCATCAAAAACTAAAAGCACATGGATAAAAAATACACCGTGTAACCACACAGAAACACTAACCAAAAAAAAAAGAAAAAAAGGAAAAAAGAAGAAGAAAAAAAAACTAGAAAACCTGCAATATCTGAGGGTAGAGCAATAAGAAAAAAGGTAGATAAGGATAATAATGAACAACAAAATGAGAAAAATGCAAAATGAAAAACAAGGAACAGTGTTAACCATAAGAAAAAAGAAATTTGCAACCATGAACCGGGAGAAGAAAAAGAGCTGAAAACTAGGACCTGGGAGGGGAAGAATAAAGAATAATAGTAAAAATGACAAATGTATTAATAATAATACTAGTTTTAAAACGGACAAAATCAAGCAAACTAAAAACCAGATAAAAAAAAGAAAAAAATCAGTGGAGGACAGGGCTGGGCACCCAGGCTCCACTGGAGCACACAGACTGGGATGGAGTTCCTGCAGGCCCAGAAGGTGGGTGGGAGTGGGGGATGGCCACACCTCCATTCACGAAGGGGTGTGGGGTATACGAGTAACAAGGGAAATGTCACACCTTTTCAGTCATCCAGGTCTGGGGTTACTGGCAAGCAGAACCTGTTCTTAAACCCCTGGAATCTGGGAGACCACTGTCTCTTTAAATATCCAAAATGGTCAAGCCACTTGTAAACATTCAAAATGGTGGCGCCCTCCAGACAGGCAAAAGTCCACAGCTCAGTCCGCCTTTCTCTTCACTAGTGCTTTGCCTTTTATTCCCCAGCCACCAGAGCAGTCCTCCATGCAGTCCCTGGCTAGTAGCACTGATTTTTAGATTAATTCTTAGGTCCTACCACCACTTAGGAGCTCTGGTAGCATAGTGGCCAAGACACTTGCCTGCTAACCAGACGGCTGGCAGTTCAAACCCACCAGCCACTCCTCGGAAGGAAGGTTGGGCAATCCTACTTCCGTAGTGATACTGCCTCGGAAACCCAAGGAGGGGTCGCTATGAGTCGGGGCCGACTCGACGGCACATAACAACAACAACAACAACCACCACTTAGCACTCTCCAAGCTGTCTGTGCCATGCTGTCCGGCTGGCTCAGGATTGCTGCCAGACCTCAGCTCCGTATGTCTCCTTTTTTGGTATTTTCATGCAAATTCTTCTGCTAGTTGGGGTTTAGTCCACTTCTATATCCTTCCCTTCAAGGCTCATGGGCCAAGGATTATCTTCTGTGTCTGTGTTAACTGGTTCCCCTTTTCTTTGTTGAAGAGGGTCTGTGCAGTCTTTTTCCTTATTCCACCATCTTACCAGAAGTCCTGTATTAATCTTATATGGCTCATTTCCTATATATAGATAGAACTATATACAGTAAATTCTCCTTATTTGCAGTCATTATGTTCTATAAGGCAACACGAACACTGTATTACTGAACCATAGTCCCTGGGGAAAATACAAGATTTGGTTCCTGTGAACCTCTGAGCACAATATTTTTGTCAACTTACCAATACATGACCTTGTTTTAAGTGCATTTCTGCTAAAGATACCTTATTTAATATATATTGTTGATTCAGTAAGGAACTCATGGCCAACAGCACTATTAACTCATGCCTCAATGAAGCTTATCTAATACATGTATTTTCTCCATAAGGCATTTCTCAGCCTTCTTGTGTGTGATGCTAGATCACACTTCAGCATTACACTTGGGAGCCATTTTGAACATCAAAATCATAAGTACAAAAATGCAATAACATGGCACTAAAGCTCTGGTGGCATAGTGCCTAAAGCACTTGACTGCTAACCAGAAGACTGGTGGTTCAAATCCACCAGACACTCCTCAGAAGGAAGGTTGGGCAATCTACTTCTGTAGTGGTATTGCCTCTGAAACCCAAGGAGGGGTCACTATGAATCAAATTGACTCGATGGCAGTGAGTTTTGTTTTTTTTTTAATAGACCACAAAAGAGACATTTGTTTATGGTATGACAGCTGGGTGGTGCAAATGGTTTGCACTGTACTGCTAATTGAATGATAAGGAGCTGATGGCACAAACAGCTAAGTGCTCAAGTCACCATGAATCAGAATTGGCTCAAAGGTAATAAGTTGGTGTTTTTGGTTTATGTGAGTGGAAACAAAAAGGTAGAGTGTTACCTTGTCTGATCTCCTCGGGGAATGGGTGCATTGCGAAATTGAAATTTTTCACTACTCTTCCTATGTCTGTGAATAAGCATGAAAACACCCTGAGCATTAATTTTGGGGTTACAAATAAATTTTAGGGAGTAGTTGAATTTGCAAATACAGAATCCTTGAATAATAAGGATTGACTGAGTGTGTGTATATATAAACACATGTAAGCATATATGGTTTTATATATATATATATATATAGGTGGTATACACATACCCATACTTGATGACCTCATAAAGAAAATTAAAAGTTCCTTTATAAATTATAGGAGCTCTGGTAAATTATAATATGCATTTAATTCAATTGGTATTTAATAAGTCCTATGAATCTCATTGTAGTCTTTTTCTCCTCATTTCTAGAGTTGCAAGTATATAGCTATTAAATTAAACAACTTGAAATTTCACCTTGATGAAGTCACTATGATTCTACATACACAATAGTCCTGATTATATGCTATTTTAATGAATTACAAAAGCAAACTGAGTTTTCTGTTTGTGAAATCTCTTTTCAGATACTTTTAATTGCAATTCCTGGATCTCTATTAAATTATGTCTTAATTATTTGGTATCTGTCATCAGTGAATAAATTACCTATGAGAATCATGCCATCATTATTATTTTCACTTGTACTTTATACTTCAGATCCCATGCTGACTGCAGCTGCTATAAGGGACCTTGGTAAGTATATCTTTCTCTCTTCCTACATTTCAAATATCTTATTTTGTATTTAACTTATATCATCTTTGAGATCTTTTGTTTGTTGTAGTTTTTTACTGTATAAAGCAGAATAGTGAGGGATTGGGAAATAAGCATAGGGATTCTGTTGGTTATGCTTAGGACAGAAGGAGATGCCAGTGATGGGTCTACATAATATCAAAAAAAAAAAAAAAAATCTGTCTAACTCTGGAATGTGGTAGATGATTATTTGAAATCCTTGACTTCATATGTTCTTCTACACTAAGCCAATAGACAATATTGCATATACATTGTGTGATTGTTGGAGTTCTGTGTCAACTTGGCTGGACTACAGTTCTGAGTGTTTTAAGCAGTTGTGGGTTATTCCCATGATGAGATTGGATGTATATGTTTTGAGCAGCCAATCGGTTGAAAGGGAGTTTCCCTAAGGGTGTGAGCTGCTTCCAATATATATATTTATGGACATCCTGGGAAAAAGAGACACTCTTCTGTGGATCAGGATCCTGTTGTGCTGCGTACAACTGTCTGTGAGTGAACACTATACCATTTGGCCTGGAGATCTTGCATTCATCATTTGTTGAAGTCAACAGCCACTATACTGCCTGCCAATCTTGACCTCATCAACCCCTGAAGCTGCTTAAGTTGGGAAAAGCCTCCAACTTGACATTTGATCCAAGAACTTGGGACTTGCCAGCTTCTATAAGTGTGTGAGC